TTATGATGATAGTGTTAACAGTTGTCAGATACTTGGGTTGGTTCCTTTGGTTGTCTTATTCAGCACTTTTTTCTAGGAAGTTCTTGGCTCATAGATGACAATCAATACATCTTTTTTTTTCTTTCTAATAAAAGGATGATTGATGATGTGAATTAAATATAGGAGGGAGTTTAAAAACCTTTATTATTTGTCAGCATACCCCTCTTATCCTCTAACTGGGATATAAATAATGTAACTTACTTATATTTACATCCTTGTAACATTTAAAATCTTGCTTCTTATATATAATACTATCAATAAATGATTGTTGAATAAATGCTCAATAAACATTTGTTGGGTTGACTTTTAGACTTGGTCTCTTTCCATAAATAAGTAATGAATTCACTTTATATAGTCTTTTAAAATTACTTTTGTCTATAAATTCATATTTTCTTCTCAGAGGCAAAACTCTATAATCAATGTGAAGGGTTGTTTTTCATCCTCCTACAAAGTATGTATTTCTTTTGAATAGGAAATACAAGCATTAGAGAGATTTAGAGATACCAAGAGGATTGGCACTCAAGTAGCTTAGTTCCTCTTTACTTTCATTAAAGGGGTGAAAGGCCTTTCAAGTTCATGAGACACTAAAATTAATGATGCATCCTAATTAAGTAAATGTTCAGTTCCGTTTCTTAGTTGCAATACTATACAAGACATGGGAAGAAAAGGATCAATTTGCTTCATATCAATCTCTCCAATGAAAATAAAAATCCTCCTACTCCTTGCCAGTTATTCTTTTGGTGATCTCATTTTAAATCTCAAAAATTTGTAAATATTTTGTTAATTTTCACCGGCTTCTGCATTGAATCTTGTGTGTAGTGTCTTTTCTTTATACTAAGATTAGTACTTGTCACGTAATCTTCAAATGTAATGAACATTATGCACTTTCTCACATCTATGTAAATATTTGTTATACTTAAATCAGCATGTGTTGGGTGCTAATATGTGTGAGGCTATATGCTAAGTAGTATATTCTAAATAAATAAAATTATGTAGTGTTTTATCTACCCTTAATTCACTAATTTCTGGAAAGCAGTGCTATGTCTATTTTTTCCTACTCTGATTTCCTATCCATCCCCTATGTAAAGGAATAGGAAGAATCAACTTTGTTCTTCTTTTGTTGGGCCAGAGTCTCACTCTGCTGCCCAGGCTGAAATGCAGCAATGTGATGACGGTTCACTGCAGTCTCAGCCTCCTGGGCTCAATCAACTCTCCCGCCTCAGCCTCCTGAGGAGCTGAGATTACAGTGCACACCAGCACGCACTGTATGTAAATTTTTGTATTTTTTGTAAAGACAGTGTTTTGCCATATTGCCCAGGCTGATCTGGAACTTCTGGGCTCAAGGGATCCTCCCCTCCTAGATCCTCCAATGAGCTGGAATTATAGGTGTGAACAGCTGTGCCCAGCCTCAACACAATCCTTGACTCAGGAAAGTTGGTGGTTTGCTCAGTACCTGGAGAATGGAATGATGATGAAGCCAGAGTTTGCTGTTAAATCAACCGGTTCCTAGATAGGAAAGAACAGACTACTTATATTCTACTCTGTTGATGACTATTTGTTTCCTATTGCAGCTGTTACAAATTGCCACAAGTATGACTTACAGTAACACAAATTTATTAGTTTTCAGTTCTGGAGGTCAGAAGTCTAAAATGGGTCAGCAATGTTTCATTTCTTCTGGAAGCACTAGGGAAGACTCTTCCCTTTCCCAGATTCTAGAGGGCATCCTGCCTGCATTTCCTGGCTATTCTCCTCCCTCCTCCCCGTCACTCCACCAGTGCTTCTGTCCTCACATCTCTCTGACCCTTTCATTGTACCTCCCTCTTGTAAGGATGTTTGTGATTACTTTGGGCATGTAAGCTGATCTAGGATATCTTCTACATCTCTACATACTTAGTATTTTAACATTTGCAAAGTCCCTTTTGCCATAAAAAGGGAAGCTGTCACAGGTTCTGGGAGTTAGGATGTGGATATTTTGGGGGGCATTATTGTTTCTACCACACACATATTAGTTAATCATTAAAATCCAGTTACAAGAAAAGATTGCAAGGAAGCTGTATCTTATAATTTCCTTGAATATTCTCATATTTATTATTTGTGTAAGTTTTCAAAAAATGTACATATATATACATGTATCAATATGCATAAATTCATATATCCACTATGCCAATGAATATATTTTAGTCACCACACTAATAAATATTGATAGTACAAATAATTTAGAAAATAATCATTTTTGTAAATGTCAAAAAATGTTAACTCTGAGAACATTGAGTAGCAAAGTGTTAAATAAACCGACAGTTTCATAATTCAGCTTATAATACTACAAACATTTCACTCTTCCCTAAATATACTTGCACGTAGTTGACAGATGAAGAATGTACACTTATGTAAATACCTTGTTAATAATATTATATGGCATTTTCATCATATTTCTTCAACAAACTAGGAAATACAATATAGTGAATAAAAAGAATTCAACAATGTCTTTTAGTAATTTTTATGGGCTGGTTGTTTACGTCTTCCCAAAATTCGTATTTTGATGCCCTAGTCTTCATGTGATGATATTTTTAGGTAAAGAATTAGGGAGGTAATAAGGTTTACAATGGACTATAATGGTGGGTCCCACATATTGGCATTGGTGCCCATAAAAAAAGTAAGCTATCTCCGTCTCTTCTCCACCTCCCTCTCCTGTGCCTTGACACACCTATGAAGTCATGTGACCACACGGTGCTAACCAGAAAGCAGGTCCTCTCTATGAATCAAATCAGCAGTCACTTTGATCTTGGAATTCCCAGCCTATGTTGTTTAATCCACCCAGTTTATCATATTTCATCGTAACAGCCTGAATGGGCAGACTAAGATAGAAATTGGTAACAGTGCTTCAATTTCCTCATACCTCACTTCTCTCATATTAAGATAAAATAGTAGGTTACTTCACAACACGGTGAGAGGATTAAATTAATGTGGTGGATAGTAAGATATTTATAAGACTATAAAGTCTTGTCCAGAGGTCGTGATTTCTAATATAATTTTGTTTATAATGCCAAACATATGTCAAATATTCCAAACATTTTTTGAGGAATCCTATGATTTAATAATATTTCTAAATATTAGATAAAAATTAAATGCAATAAACCTTTGTAAGAATGTAAAAGAGGGAAAAATTGGTTAAGTCCTTAGTTCCATCCATTAAATTAATATTTATTGAGCTCCTTCTCTATGTAGAGAGATGTGATAGGTGGTGGAGATACAAACTGAATGAGTTGAGAATACACATGAAAAAACGTAATCACGTTTCCTTCTTTATGGAACTGAGAGTTGACAATATGTGTTTTGAAATAGGTTAAGCCTGGCACCCGCATTATATGCATGTGAAAACTATTTTTTTTTTTCTTGAGACAGAGTCTTGCTCTCTCCCCCAAGCTGCAATACCATGGTGCCACTTGGCTCACTGCAACCTCCACCTCCTAGGTTCAAGCAATTCTCTTGCCTCAGGCTCCCAAGTAATGGGGATTACAGGTGCCTGCCACCATGCCTAGCTGATTTTTGTATTTTTAGTAGAGACGGGGATTCACCATATGGGCCAGACTGATCCTGAACTCCTGACCTCAAACAATCCTCCCTCCTCGGCCTCCCAAAGTATTGGGAAACAGGCAGAAGCCACTGTGCCCCGTCTGAAAACTAATTATTAATCACACAAAACACACACAGCAATACAAATGCTACGGAAAAATGCTTCTAGAATTGCTTAAAGCACTAATTTTTCAGATTAGTGCAAAAATGTTTATTTTATAAGCATACACTATAGACATTTAAAAATGTTTGATTTGATTCTGTGTTCATCTTGTTGAATCCAAGAACGAAAGCCCTTTTGAAGTAATAACTGCCAAATGGATTTTAGTGCTGATATTCTACTTCAGAATTGCCATTTTCAAAACAAAAATGGCTTGCATGTAACACACAAATATTGATGTATATAAAGAAACACTGGTATGTCCCAAACCACTTCAGAACACTGAACATTTCTAAATAGTTGACGTCTTGCAGCTTTTATTCAAATTGGAACTTTTTTTTATACTAATGGAACCTGTGTGGTGAGATATTTTTGTTTGTATGTTTTATATAATGTTTCCATTAAAAGGCACTGTCTTAATCTCTGCATTTCTTTCATATTGTGTGTGTGTGTGTACAATTTCAGATATGTGTTAGATTGTAATTAAACTTCTTATTTTGAGATGACAGCTTTCCTCTTAGAACAATCCTATTTCTATATTTTTAGGGAATTTAAAAAGTAGAACATACAGGTGACATAACAGAGTAAGACATTGCAGGTGATTGGAATTATGGACAGTTTATATTCCATGAGGGAAAGTAGTCTCAGGAACAGCAACCTAGTGCGTGCACAAAAAGAATACTGAGGATATTTTCTGCCAAGGTAAATTTTATCATGGATCATTTCCAATCATGTGAAGGTGGCGGAGCGCAGGATGAAATAAAGCAGGAGAATTAAAGTTTTCTACAATGAAAAGTACTATCAACAACGTAGCTAAGAAGACTTGGTGTGATTTACACATCTTTGCGCTTTCTCTTCCTTTCACCTGTTTTCTAGGCCCACTCTTAAAGAATGCCTGTCTTAGTAATAAAATTTATAGAATGAACACTAGCTAAGAAGTGAAGAAACCTACATTTAGAGTTTCTTAGGTTATTGGCTAGTGTTTGATTACACTAATCACTTAACCTCTCTGGGTCTCAACTTCTTCATCGTCATGAGCGATAAGATTAAATGATCCTTAATGTCCATTCAAGTTCCAACATACTTTTTTGAGACTTGACTACATTAGCCCTAGTTTATTTAGCAGCATATTGATCTTATAAAATAAAATGTGAAGATTCCTGCATACATAGGTATTTAAAAAACTTTAGACTCAAAGAGAAAACTCTAAAAACAAAATAAACACACCTGATGTGAAAATGAATACATTTCAATATATTTTTGAAGGTAATCATATATGCATAAATGTGTGTGTCATGTGTGACTGTCTTTGGTATGCAAGTAATAGTCCCAATTTATTTATCTTTAACCCATTTTTGTTACAAGTTAGATTTAATGTTAAAATCACCTGAATCATGTCAACATTTTGCTTCTCAGGCAAATTGCTTTCCAATTTCTGTAATAAAGTGTATCTTGAATATTGCTTTGAGAAATTTTAGTGGGTTAATAGGCAAGAAATATATTAGTTGGTACTCATACACAGTACTTCTAAGAAGGTGGCACCACAATAGCTAAGAAAAGCATTATCAATAACATAAAATGTACTGAAGTCCTAGCTGCAAATATGCATTGTAATTATCCAAGAAAGACATTCTCAACATAAAATTAAAATGGATAACTTTTGGAGCAGTCTAAGTATATACCAGATTTGTTCTAAAAGTAAAAGGCAGCTAGGAGATATTAAGCCTATGGCTTCATTAAGGAGTTGATCAAATGTAACCATATGAATTAGTATAGTGCTCAAATTGTTGAATAAACTTTAAATGCTATAAGCACTTTTAAAGTTCATAAACTATGGGCCACAAAATTAATATTTTTGTTATCCTGTCTTTTTTTCAAATGTTTAAGAACAGCAATCACACGTTTATTTCATATATAAAATATAGATCTGAATATTACGTTTTTGTAATTTAAGTCAGGGTGGGTCCTCAATGAACAAGTACATTTCTTTGAATAGGAAATTATGAAAGTAGCTTTAGGCAGCACATCAAAGTCTTATGTGAAAAGTGTGCTCTCTACCTCCCACAATTGTTAAGAGTTATTTGTAATGAATGTAATTCAGAGTTTTCATCCTCTTTATGTGAACCTCAGATCCTCTTAGCAGCATTTGTCAGACTCTCTAAAACACAGAGACACACACAGAAATCATCCTCTTGGTAAAGTGAGACAACAGAAGAAACACTTCTGCTCTAGGACATCATTAGAGCTGGACAACAGCCTGAGGAGAGAAAGAAAAAACCGTTATACCAACATGTCCTTACTGCAATTCTTTTCTCTTGCAAATGTTGTTGGTTATGAAGACTATATAGAGAGTTGAGAACATGCATATTTTGTCTTGCAATATGCCACGTGACTCTCTTCTGAGATTTTATACTACTGATTTCTAGAATACTGATTGTTTAAAATGAGGTTTATTCTTACCCATAAGATTTTAATATTATACATTTCAGATGATTTTTCAGCCATTCTGTTATGAGGAACAAATTTTCTGCCACTTAGCTTATCCTTTATTATTAAACTTAGGGGATAATGGATAATAACAATAGACAAAAAAGTTTGTTAATGAAAAATTGCAATGATTTCTCTTAGAGCAAGTCTCCTTTAACTTTGTGCATCAAAAACGGTCAGCTTACACTTGAAAACCAAGTTCACACAATTTGCAAAACGTGTTATTCTCCACGCTTAGTGACATATGATGTAAGCACCACCAAGAGCCATTTGGCTTCCTCCCGCTGACACACCTATCCACTCTTCACACTGTGAGCATGCACAGGCTGGGGGTGCTATGGACCCATGGAAAAGCAGAGGGCTTTAGGAATTTACAGAATCACCACAATATGCAAATGGCCGTTGTGGATACTATTAATTTGTATCTGGTACAATGACTGGAACCAAGATGCACATTTGATAAGTGGTTTCTATAGCCTTGATTTACCTGCAAAATGTGAAAAATAACCATTCCCAATTTTGGAACTGAAATTATATTTCAGGACATGGCCAAGACATACTAAAAGCTAGACAGGGGGCCACTACCCAAAACGATTTTCTTTATTTTCAGAAAGGAAAGAGAGTTACTAGGAAATAAGGGAGGTACTTAAATACCACTTTAGTAAGCAAACAGGGATTTCACTGCTTTACCAGTCTTTGGGTTTTTAATGTAGGATAAAGGGACCTTAAAGCGTTCCTACTGTCTCCTTAAAACCCTCTACTTCAAATTCACCCTTGCGTACTACTACTCTCCTAGGAAAGAGGAAAAGAAAATTTCCACTGACCCAGCTCGTGATTTACATACAGAGAGCGAATAAATGAATGGAGTGGGGGATGGGAAAGTGAGAAGCAATCTGCTTCTTTTTCACCCGCGGAAAATAAGATTACTTACCAAGAACATTTTTATCCAGGGCAAATGTTTATTCCCTGTCTCGTTCAGCGCCTCAGTCTCTGCGAGAAATCAATTTCCACTCTCCCTTTCCCTCCTATTTCTTAAAAGAGAGCGAGGCGTGTAATTCGAAGGCAGATGCTGCCGGAGCGGAGGGCGGGAGGCTCCCACGGCGCTCTTCACGGAGACCCCGCGCGGGCGCGAACCCGCAGGGGGGTCGGGGGTCTGCTCCCGGGAAGGCGCTCCGGGCCGGGGCGGGGGTTGCGTTCCGCGGCCGAAACGTAAATCACCTGCGAACAGATCGGCAGCCTGTCGGTCCCACGGGCAGCGCCCGGGAAGCGGGGTTCAGGGGGAAGGGGAAGTTCCTGGAGACACCGGGCCTGGGCTTGCGGGGGGAATGAACGAGCCGGAGAGTGGAGCGGGGGCGGGAATAAAGCGACTTACGACTGATCAGGCTGCCGTGGGGTCAGTGTTGGGGCCCGAGCACGGCGGGACCGCGCGTTCGGCCTTTTTCCAGCGCGCGCTCCCGCAGCAACCGCGGGAATCCGGGGGACGGGCTCCCCAGGGACGGTCCTCGGGGTCCCCGGAGCTCTGGCTTCTCGGGCCGGGCGTTCGGAGCTGAGGGCTGCAGGAGGCCGTTTCCCGAGTCGCGGGCCGAGGGGGACCCGAGGGAGGCTGCGTCCCGCCCCCCGTCCCGGCGCCCCCGGAGCTCCCCGTGCCCCGCGCCCCCTCCGCCCCCACCCGCACCCCCACCCGCGCCCCGCGCCCCTCCGCCCCCCGCCCCCACCCGCGCCGCCCCACGCGGACCGCCGACCGCTTGGTGCCCGCAGCGCTTGGTTTGGGGGCCGCGGGCTTGGCCGCGCTGGGGGCCCCTCCCTCAGTTGCCGCGAGTGAACACGTCCGAGGGAAGCACCCGGGAACCGCGCTGACGGCGCACGGTCAATCCGAGCAGTCGTGCTCCCGGCGCGGGCGGCTGCGAAGATCCGAGCAGGATTTCCGAGCGGCGCCCTGGCGGATTCTCACTGGAGCCTCCCGCGGCCCCAGTCAGTCCCCTGCCGCGTCCGTCAGGATGACCGCAGCCGGGCTCACTAGTCCGCTCGTTATCTCCTTGTCTGCAACACGTCCTTTCACTCTTCGCAGATGTATCTGTATTCCGCCTCCTGTTCTCGGGGGGTCCGCAGCTTCTGTCTTTCCCCGCTGTATGGGGACGCACAGCCTGTAAAATCTCACTCTGCTTAAGGATCACCACGAATCACCCCCCGTCCCACCCCCGCCCCCCAATATAAAGCATTTTCACATTCTGTTTTCTTGCCTTGGGGGCTCGTGGCTCTCTGTGTAACTGGGTTTTACTTGGTTACATGCCACCAGGAACTGCTGATTCTTTCAGAGTCCCACTACCCTGCAGCTCACTACTTTGCCTTGATTTGGAAGATCATGGAATATCTATTTGAATCCTGGATGTATTTTTCTCACAGTCTTCTTGCTTCCTGAAATTACCTCTGGTAAGTTATTCTCTTTATCTCCTACTAGAAACTTAACTAGTGTTATTTTTAATAAGGTCTGTTTTGTTGAAATATTTCATTTTTCACATTTTTGTTACTTTCGGACCTCGAAGATCCATATGGCCATAATTATTAATTAGTAGGTTAGTGGCAATTGCGCTACTAAGACATATCCCATGTCATGTATTACACCAATATTCCATGTATTACCCCAATATCTTTTACCTTCTTTATTTTTTTTTAGTTTCTGTCCTTATTTATATTGCAGGTTACATAGACATTAACCTCCCCCCCATCACCCTTCTTGGCACACATTCTTGAGCCATTTGAAAGGTCACATTTTATATGTTTATTTAAGACAGAGCTTAAAAGAGACCTGACAATTGCCAGGTCAGGAAAGTTCACTGGTCTAATCTTCAGAAGGTTGTTCAGGTCAGTATTTGTTCATCATAAGCAATTACATGGCTGAGGGAGGACTTTGTTTTAAAGTGTATTTTTATGAATTTAGGAGGACCTTAAGCACTAAAATGCCACTGAATGCTAGGAAGAGGACTGTGAGTTTTGAGGGCACCATTTTTTTTCTTAAAATATTTCAAATCACACACTAACACGTTATTTTGGGCACAGTATTTTAATTTACGCATAGTATTTGGCAGTACATTTCTGATTTTGTGAATTAGCTGGTGAACAGTTAATTGGACACAGAGTACTCATTTCAGAGAGGAGCTATCAGAAGAAACCCCTGATTATCTTGGTCCTAATAAATTGAAATTCAAGAACAGACTTTACATGAAAAATTTAATTGCCTCACTCTTCCTACTTGTCTAACCCCACCCCCCGTTTTTAATAGGCATGTGAGTATGGTCAGTGCCTTTTGCTTTTATGAACGTTTCTATGGGCTTATCACCTCCCCTTCAGTATAGTTGTTTTGACAAATATTTAAATCTTTACTTTTATTTCACGTATTGACACATAACGAGGAGAGCACGGCATTCATTAAATGCCAAAGCTGCCTGTATCAGTAATTTCTAACACCCACTGAAGGTTTTTTCTGAACATACGCCCCCCCCCCCCCAAATTAAGGACAAGTTCCTGGTTTCTACAACATTTCCTTTTATTGGGATAGATGGAGGTAAGAGCCTATTGTTCACGCTTTTTTTTTTTCTTTCCTTCTTTCTTCTTTTTTTTAATTTCTGGGAAATAACTATTCTTGTCGTCATTGATGGCTGACGCGACAACCCAAGCAATGCTTTTTTAAATTCAAAAGCCCTTTTAGCTCCCAGACATAAAAGTACTCCAGCTGCAGCGTCGCCCCATCCCCCAGTCTCGGGATTCAAGGGCTTTTCCCCTGGACTCCCACCGACAGGGAACAGGGCTGAGACCGCGGTCCGCACGACTGGGCGCCCCTCACCCGTCACTAGGTCACTAGTTTCCACCTGGTCTCCTTCCCGGTCCGATCGTCCCGCCTGACAAGCCAGTGCCATCAGAGTCTGTGACTTCATTGGAAGAAACGAGGGCTTCATAGATTTCAATTCAAGCATCCTCTTTGGAGGACTGCTGTTGTTGCGCAAGGGTGGAGGGAGGAAGAAAAAAAAAAAAAAACTTTCAGTGCAGTCAGATCCAGTAAGGAACAGACGTTCGGTCTTTAGGTAAGTGCGTTTTGCTGTGTTGTTCCCGAAGCTCAGGGAAATTGACATCTGAGGGGCTCCCGCAGCCAAGAACGTTTTAACTGGAGGGTTATCAACAGGCGACTCTGCCTGGAGATTTCTCCGCAGCTCGTGGCAACGCCTGCGCCACCTGAGCTCCGGGCAGGGTGGAGAGCAAGGTGCCTAGCTGACCTGCTGGCTCCAGGCTTGGGCTGGTGTGGGAATGACCCGTGCGTGCAGGAAAGGTGCCCCCCACGCCGACCCGCTGGCGCAGGTTCTCGCCCGGCCCCTGCCGCGAACCTGTGCTCGGTGTGGGCATTTGCATCCCCACAGAGTGGGGTGCGCCAGGGGGTTTCCATCCTTCCAGAATGCTCCATCTCCAACCTTCCCAAGCCAAAGTTGAGCACACCTCTTCTGTATGAGGCAATGCACTTCAGATCTCTGGAGTCTCTTAATACCTTTTTGCGTTAATATTTATCTAATTTATTTTCATGAGCTATATTTAATGTTGGTAAATGACGGTTCCTGAGGATGCCTGCGGCGTAAAACCCTCATCACTGTCCTTGCCTGACTGCGAAGCGGGGCTTAGAACCGCTGAATGACTCCTTAGGCTCTGGGTTGGAGCGTTCTTGCCGACCGTCACTCCTTCCTTTCCTTCACCAACTCCCAAGAATCGGGAGGGCGGTCGGGAGAGCGGAAGAGAGTTGGATTTCAACTTGAAGCCAGAGCTTGGAATACAAGGTTGAAGTTAAAAGCAAAGAGTGAAGATCTGGAGTCTGTGTAGCTCGCATTATACCCACTTTAAAGCTGGCCTTTTATTTTTGGAGGTGGGGGTGGGAAGCGGGAAGATCTGGGACTCGGAGCCCTCTCTCCCAGCTCCACCGGAGAGGGGCTGGTGCTTCTTGGCGGCCGGTCACTGCCGGGGCCACAGCCAAGCAGTGACAGGGAGTTCAAGTCTCTGATGGCTGTTCTCCTAGTCCCCAAGAGTTGAACCGGAGAGCCTTTTACCTTGCGCCAGGTCGAGAACGTGATTAGCCCTTTAGGGAAGGAACCTCCTTGTAACAGGTATTCTGCTGGGGACGCCGTGCAGCCACTACCTCTGATTTAAGATGCGTGTTTGGAGCTGTGTGGCATGCCCACCGGCTGTTTGAAAGGAGGAAAAGGTGACCAGGGTTGCAAATTAACCTAAGTATCACTTACAAATATTCTATCTAGTCAAATGTATGTAAGCAAAGAGGAGAGCACCAGGGTACAAAACTGCCACAGCAGCTTGGAAGACAGATGATTCAGATTTGGGGGACTTTCTTTTGCGTGTTACTTAGATTTGTTTGTCATCATGCAGTTAAGCAGGTAAGGAATGAATGTATTTTATTGACAATCATATAACTTGTGTTTTACTATCATGTGATGTTTTTTCTGTTTCAAGCAATGGAATATATGCATTTTCAGTTGGTCCTGCTATGATGCATAACTTCTTAATATTCATATTCGTGAATCAGGGTAAAACGGTTTAGATGTTTGACATGCATTAATTTAACTGCTTAGTGTGCATTTATTTCAATGTTTAGCCATGTTACACAAATCATAAATTGGACCAACGTTAGAGGAAGAAATGGGAAGGGTAGAGAGTTAAAGGAAGAAATGTATAACCTTAATGAAATGTGGAAGATGGCAGTTGCAGAAATGCATTAAAAACATTGCTTCTTGTTAAGGTCCCAGACCTTAATATATAAAGGACAATTGAACAACTGTTAGAGGCATCTTGAACTAACAAAGTAATTTTGACTACTTGAAAGAACTGTTTTGTGGGTATTTTCATTATTTTCTCCACCTTAAAAAAATATAGGTTGGGGGTGGGTTGGGTTGTAAAACAGAACAAAAAAGGAAAGCTTGCCCAAGGGCAGTGTAGTGTATGACCCCAGTAAGAAAAGCTTTGGGTTTACAAACCAGTTGGAAAACTGAAATAAATAAATAAATAAATA